AGCAGCAGCTGTGCGTGTAAAGCACGTGTTGGTGGTAACCCTGCCCAGGGCGTGGCGGGAGGTCAGCACACCGAGGACTGGGGTGTGAGAGTGTAAGTGTGCGAGTGAGTGTAAGTGTGTAAGGGAGTGTTAGTGTGTGTAAAGGATTGTGTGTGTCTGTGTGAGTGCTTATATGTGAGTGCATATGAGTGTGTGTGCATGAATGTGAGTGTGTGTGTGTGCAAGTGCATGTATCTGTGCATGTGTGTATGTGTGGAAGGGAGTGTGTGTGTGTGAGTATGTGGAAGGGAGTGTGTGTGTATGTGTAAGGCAGTGTGTGGGAGAATGTGTGTGTGTGTGCATGTGCGTGCCTGTGTAAGTGTGTACATGCGAGTGTGTGCGTGTGCTTCCGCAGCGGAGCCTGGGGAATGCCTGCTGATTGGTGAGTTTTGACCTGCAGCTTACAGAGCTCAGTGGGGGTGCAGTTAGGAGGGAGCTGGGGTCTCAGAGCCTGGGACAGCTCCACCCCGGGTGGGTGTGGGGTCCTGGGTCACTGAGAACCACGAACAGGTAAGCTGGTCTCGAGCGGGTCAGCCACCTTTTCTGTAAAGGGCCAGATGGTAAACATCTCAGGCTTTGGGGGCCAGACTCAACTCTGCAAAGCAGCCCTAGACAATATGTAAATGAACGGGTGTGGCTGTGCCAATAAAGCTTTATTGATAAAAGTCTGCCATTTGGCCCCCAGGGCCTCGGGCTGCAGTTTGCCAGCGCCCGGCCTGACTTCCCATTTGTCAAGTGAGCGGCTTTCTGGGAGGCAGTAGCCAGGCGCTCAAGCAGGGAGGGAGCTGGAGGAGAGAGGGTTTGCTGAGAACAGCTGCTCGGCCAGGAGTAGGAGCTCCAGGCCATCAGGGGGTACTGTCCCCTGCGCCTGGGCCCTCCCCTCGGGGGGGACTCAGGAGGGACCCCCGCCCCCCTGTGCCGTGGCAGGTGTGGAGAGCAGCCTGCGGGTGACCCGCTGCCGCCAGATCCTGCGGGGCCTGCCGGACCACAACTACGCAGTCCTCAGCTACCTCATGGGCTTCCTGCACGAGGTGAGCGCCGGGCAGGGCTGCCGGCGAGGCCTGGCCTCCACGTCAGCCACAGACCAGGTCTGGGGTCACCCTCCCTCGGCCTTGGAACGCCACCCCCTGGCTCCAAAGGGCTTCATCCAAGGCCTGGCGGGCAGTGACTCCACTGAGCAGCCCTGTGCGCTGCCGACTGGGGCCACCCAGGCCCACCCTGCCACTCCTGCACCGCTGCCCTCGCTATTGCCCTTGGCCTTCTTTCTTGGGGCCTCTGCTCCCACGTTGTCTCCTGTCGAGAGGCGGGGGCATTGGGGAGGGAGCTTCGAGGGAGGGGCTGTGTCCCAGCCGCCTGCTGGGTGAAGCCAGGGGCCCTGCCCATGCCCGCTGTGCTAGAGGCCCCACCTCTGGGGTAGGAGAGGAGTCTGAGGGAGGCTGAGGGGTCCCAGAGGAGACTGTAGAAGGTCAGAGCCGGAGGGTCCCTCAGGCATCAAGGCCGATCCCTTCCCTTTACAGATGGGGAAACTGAGGCCCGGAGCAGGGAGGTGGCAGCACAAGGTCACAGCCCGGCTCCCAATCCAGTGCTGTTCCACTGCACGGGACCCACGGGCCACCCTCTCGTGCCCTGCAGGTGTCCCGGGAGAGCATTTTTAACAAGATGACCAGCTCCAACCTGGCCTGCGTCTTCGGGCTGAATCTGATCTGGCCATCGCAGGGGGCGTCCTCCCTGGGCGCCCTGGTGCCCCTGAACCTGTTCACCGAGCTGCTGATCGAGTACTACGGGAAGGTCTTCAGCGCCCAGGACGCCCGCGGGGAGCCGGGGGCTG